CTCTTCAAAAGCTCATTCTTTTTTTTTTTTTTTTTTTTTTTAATTTTTTTTTATAATTTTTTAATATTTATTTTTTAGTTTTCGGCGGACACAACATCTTTGTTTGTATGTGGTGCTGAGGATCGAACCCGGGCCGCACGCACGCCAGGCGAGCGCGCTACCGCTTGAGCCACATCCCCAGCCCCCAAAAAAGCTCATTCTTAAGAGGAAGTGATAAGTTCTAATGTTTTTAGCTTAATTTTCCCCATTTGAGGAATTTCCGAGGAAGCAGCATGGGGCTTTTTATATTTTAACTATTTTTTTTATTACTAAAGAAATACACAATCACAGTAAAAATTTCAAACAGAATCGTTTCCAGATGGAACCACAGTTAGCAGCATTTTGTGTATCTTTCCAGAAATGTTCTATGCACATACAAGCATACAATATATTCCCCCCCCCCACTCTCACGCACAAATGGGAGCATATTGGACATCTTTTTCTACAACTTGCTATTTTTCATGTAGCACATTTTGGATGTTTGCCATTTCAATATATCTAGATTTACTCTTGTTAAAAAACTGCTCCGTAGTTCTATTTATGAATGTACTGATGTATTTACCCAACTCCCTGTTAATGAATATTTATGTTAATTTTGCGTTATTATGAACAGTGCTTAGAATAAGTGTCCTAAATCTACATCCATATCCTGTATTTTTGGAGTATCTTCCACTTAGAGATTTATTTATTTTTTTTTAATTAAGATGTCTGGGAGATTAAAATTTTGAGAGATGTCAATTGTCCTTTTAAAAGCTTATGCCAATTTAAGCTCTAGTAATCATGAGTGAGAATACCTGGTTGCACATACCATCACAAATACATACACAAACTTTTAAGCTTGCCAATCTTAAAATAATTTTTTACTTTATTTATTTATTTTTGTTGGTACTGGGGATTGAACTAGCAGTTCTCTACCACTGAGCTACATCCCCAATCCTTTAATTTTATATTTTGGGACAGGGTCTCAGTAAAGTTGCCCATGCTGGTCTCAAACTTGTGTTTATTCTGTTGAAGGGACAGATGAGGCAAGGCACCGAAGATAGCAGGAAACCCTTTTATTTGGCTGCAGCCAGGTTCAGAGGGCACAGCTTTTGCTGTAATCAATTAATCCCCTGAACCCCGAGTTCAGGTAGTTTCAGAGTTTTATACCCAGCATGTAAGGGGAGAGGCTCAGAAGTTCACATAAAAGCAGCTTTTTCTTTCACTGTTCTGGGCAAGTTAACCCTTCAAGGACAACACCTGAGAAGGGGAAAGCTTCCTCTCCCCTTTCTTTCCTCCCCCTGCCAGCTGTTACCATTGAGCCCAATTGGTAACTTCTCTTAGAAATGTGGGCATCTCTGTGAAGCTCCAGCTCAAGGCCAGAGGCCTTGTTTACACATTTCTACAAACTACTATACTGGATACATGTTTGTGAAAAACTAATAAGGGGGTGTCCAGCACCTGGAGTGCCAATTTCTTCCAGGCTATCGGCCAAGTAGAATAGGACAACATGAAAATAGGAAGTTTATTTACATTGGACTCTTTTGTGGAGACTCTTTTACTTATAGTCTTAAAAATCAATTATGGTGAAGATTGCTGGAGAAGCTTAGTTAAGATTTTTTTGTGGAGGAGGGGGTGCTATTACAATTCTGCCTCAGCCTCCTGAGTAGCTGCGATTACAGGTATGTGCCACCCCTCCTAGCTTAATTTTATTATTTTAAATTAATATTTTAATTTAAATAACTTTTTAAAATTTAAATGACTAATAACTTTTTCTTGTTCAGGTAAATTTGGCCATTTTTCTATTATTTAAGCTGCATCTTACTGAGTTATAGAAAGATCTCTTTCTATATGAAGGGAAATGACTCTTTTGTACCATATGTAGTAGTAGTAATTCCCAACTTTATCATTTGTCTTGGTTTTATGATTCTTTCCATATAACATTTGAAAAATTATTTTACTAGCAAATTTATCAATTCATTTTTGCCTTTGCACAGCTTTAGAGACCCTATTATAATGATCCAATGTTCCTCTGATGATTTTCATATTTTCTTTTTTACATTTAAATCTTTAATCCAACTACAAACTTTGAGGGAAGAATAAATTTACACTAGAGGTCAAACTTTACTTTCTACCTGCCTATCAGTTGTTCTCACAGTGTTCATCAATACTATACTTGGCATTTCTAAAAGTAAGATGCCTCAATATAAGGAAAATATTATTTCATGTTAGTTTTCCTAATATATAAAACTCTTTAGAATAGAAAATAATTTGATCTTTAACCAACTTTAAAGATGCTAAGGACTGGGATGTAGCTCAGTAATAGAGCACTTGCCCAGCATGTGCAAGGCCATGGGTTCAATTCCCAGCACCTAAAAACAAAACAAAACAAACAAACAAAAACTGACACCCATCTTCCAGAAAGAACAAATTACTTACTAGAGTTTGACTAGTTACTGTGAAATGAGGTGGTCATAGGATGAACCCCTAGAGGCTGTGTTTTCCATTTACTCAACAAGCATTCATTGCTGCTATGTGCAATAGCCTATGGGATCATGGAAGTGGTTAGATATGATTTTTTGCCCTCTGGAAGTATATAATTTAATAGAGAAATGGCAAATCTTTCATCATAGAGGGATGTATGCATATTTTCTTGGCATTTCTAAAAGTAAGATAGCTCATTAATGTACTGTGGGTTCCTAGGGTTTTGGAAATGTATAAAAAGGAGATTCAAATTTGTCTTTCAGGAAATAAGCTGTTGAATAGTTGAAAGTTGGAATGGAACATGGAAAATATTTTAAGTTATCTGCATTTTAGAAATGTGTACTCTGTATATGGTCTGTATGTTTCCAAAGTCCTTTCTTAGGAATTTTGAATTTCAGGTTTGGCAAGTGGAAAGGAGAATAACTGTCAGTTATAATACCTTTCTTCTAAACTAAAGCTGTGTTTCACCCATGGTCCCTACTAAGGAGCAGGGGTAGGAATGTGTCAGCTTTTCCAATTCAGGAGTTGTCATGTGCCTAAGAGCTGCTCCCCACAATCTAGAGTGCTCAGCCTGAGAGAATCATGACACCCTGTTTCCTTTTCCAAATCTTTTCACAGATCTTTGCAGCTAGGGGACTGTATTAGTTTGCTAGGACTGCTATAACAAAATAACAGACTGGTGGCTTACCTGATAGAAATTTGTTTTCTTATAGTTCTGGGGGCTGCATGTCCAAGATCAAGATGTCAGTAGACTTGGTTTCTCATAAGATGTCTCTCCTTGGCTTTCAGACAACTGCTTTCTTGTTATGTCCTCACACAGTTTTCCTCTGTGTATAAATATCCCTGTTCTCTGTGTGTCCAAATTTTTTTTTTTGGTACTGGGGATTGAACCCCCAGCATCACTCTACCACTGAGCTACATCCCCTTTTTACTTACTTTTTGTTGTAGTTGTACAAGGATAGCATGCCTTTATTTTATTTGCTTATTTTTATGCGATGATAAGGATCAAACCCAGTGCCTCACATGTGCTAAGCAAGCACTCTGCCACTGAGCTATAGCCCCAGTCCCTATTTACTTTCTTTGTTTGTTTACTGTTTGAGTCTAACTTGCCAAAGCTGGCCTTGAATTTGTGATTCTCCTGCCTCAATCTCCTGACTAGCTGGGATATATACATACATACATACACACACATACACATATGCTATACTGCATATACTACATGGGGTGAATGTTGGGAATTGAACCCAAGGCTTCATGCATGCTAGACAAGCACTCTACCACTGAGATATACCCCAGTCCCTCTACTCATTCATTCTTTCTCTTTCCCCAACCCCCTCCTGCCAGGATTGAACCCAGGGCCTCACATGTGCTGGGAGGGTGCTCTACCACTGAGCTACACTCTCAGCCCATGAACTATCATTTTTATGGGCCCTAAAATCCTTTCTTACTGTAAATATTAGAACTAGAGGCTGGGTCTATTGGGAAGATTTTGGTTTTCATTTTAGATCTTTCTCTAGTTTTACCATGTTCAATTATTACTTTTATCATTTAAATTATGAATACAATTTTGAAAAAAAATTATGAACAAAATTTTGATAATCTGGAGTGTGGCAGGCCAAATAGAACCCCTTTCTCAGCTTTCCTCTTTCTAAATGAGTGTTCTGGGTGAAAAGAATGCAGAATCAGAATTCATCAGAACAAAAAAACCAAGAGATATTGGTACATTATCATTAATTCAACTCCAGAATCCGGTTCAGGAAACCACATTGCTTTTAGCTATCAGGCTTCCCCAGGCGCCTCTGGCCTGCGAGTTGCTCGGTCTTTTCTTGTTTTTCCTGACCTTAGGAGTCTTAAGGAGCGATCCTGGACTCTTGGGTGAAGTGGAAAGTCTATGCTCCTTCCCCTAGCCTATGTCTTTTTTTTGTTCCAGAGACTTCCAAACCCGCAGACAAGAGCAGCAAATTGATCAAAGGAGGTGAACTGCATCTCTAAACATTGAACTCTCTCACAGCTCTGTGGCCTGGGTGCCAGTTGCAGGCCCATGGCTTTGACAAGAGCACTGATCCATGGAGACTTTAGCTCACTTCCCCTTGGAGGGGCTGTTAGGGTTGGACTGTCCCCCAAACCCTCATGTGTTAAAAGCATGGTCCCCAGTACAGCGTTCAGAGGTTGGGCTGTTATGCAGTGATTGGATCATGAGGGCTCAATCCACATGATGGATTGATCACCGGTTGAACTAATGGGAGGTAGGACCTATTTGGAGGAAGTGGGTCACTATGGGGAGGAGAGTCCTGGGAGGGTTTATCTTCTTCCTAGCACCTTCCTTTCTCTCTCTCCCTTGTTGGTACCTGGCTGCCATGAGCTGACAGCTTTTCTCTGTGACACACTCCTGCCACCATGATGTTCTGCGTCACCTCAGGCCCACAGCCATGGAGCTGAATGACTATGGACTGAAATCTCTGTAACTGTGAGCTAAAATAAATATTTCCTCTTCTAAGTTGTTTTTCTCAGGTGTTTTGTCACAGCAACATCAAGCTGACAGACACAGTGGCACATCTGCCTTCAGAGGAGATTCTATTAGATGACCTTTTGCAAATGAAGTCCATCATAGAGGACGGAATGGGATATGAGGACAGAGTGCCATACCATGGTGGAAACTTTGATATATTTCAAGTAATCCTGGCAGCTGGGGCATCCGGAGTTCTTCTCATCAGCCTTCATCCTGAACATTCCCCCTCCATTTCAGTTGGGTAGCTCTTTGGTTACTGCTTCGAGTTCCACATGCTGGGGGAAAAGAATTCATCTCTAAATGAAGAAAAAATTCTCCAGTTAGCAGATCTATAACCATGCACACTAGTACCTTCTGGGACTTAGGACTTTTCAATGCATGGTCAAGTTCAGACAGCCCCCAAAGACATCTGAGGTCCATTAAGTTCAGATTTACATTCTTACCCAACAAATGGCAGTACTTCAGAAAGTTTGTTTATTTAACATAAAACGCAATAAAAAAAAGTTTTGGCCCCTAGAGTACAGAGTTTATGTGACTTCATGCCCCTCTTTCTGGGGTAGAATAAACAAAACAGGGAAATGGCAAAATCTATAGGATCCTTCTGCCTCAGCCTCCCCAGTAGCTAGGATTACAGGTGTGTGCAACCATACCTGACAAGATTTTTTATTTTTTAATGTATGACTAGGTCAACTTCAATATAAAAAAATTTTCAAGAGTTTATTGGATTTTTTTGATTGTACTGGAATTAATGATATTAAATATTGCTAGAAATAAGTGGGCCCGGCTAGGACCTTGAGATTATTATTATTTTTTTGTCACAATTATATTCACTGTAATAGAATTTGGTTTTCCTGGAACTAAAAGTTCCTACCAAGAGCTTTATTAAAATCCACACATCTATCAAAGATTTGAACTCCTGCTTCAAGTTATTCTTGGAACTAAGGTAAAGAATTGCCCAGTTCACATTTCAGAGGTGAGAGACACAGAGGTGAGAGAGGCTTGTCATGAAGTCCTGCAGCCAAGGAGTCCTGGAGGATGAGCAGTGATTGCTCTTCAAACAGCCTCAGAGCAGACAAGGTGTGCAGAGGTAATGCCAGGTCCTAATGCAAAAGTGGTCAGCCTGGAGGTGGGGCTTGATGTTGACTGACCCCTCACCACCCACATCTCCCACCCCAGGATGCCAGGGAGGCACCTAAGAGAGGCCCCGACCCCTGACTTCCCCTGACCCCAGACTGGCAGTCTTTCTTCCCTGCTGCTTTCTACAGTGTCTCTCATCATGATTGTAACACCCATCATGTCAACACAGTATCTGTGAGAGCTGTTGAAAAGGTACTGCTTTTGGAAACTGCCAGCGGAGAACCAGGCTGGCTCCACATCCTACCCCACTCTCGGTGGCTCCTTTCTTTAAATGAGCCTATTTAATGAGTCTAGAATATTCCATTAACCAATTGAGTACAGCTGCCAACAGGAATGTTCCAAAGAAAATAAATGAAAACTTGTCTACTTTGCACTGTTTTGATGGGCAGCCTCTTTAAAATCGTGGTGCCTGGTCTGTCTCCTCTCGGGATGTAGTGCATTAGAACAAAGTGACCCTGAGAGGCCTAAGAAATGGTTTCATGCAGTGATACTTCACAGCTTCCTTTTTTTCCTACTCTATACTCCTCCCTCCTCGGTGCCTAAGGCTCTGTCTGGGAAGAAGCTCCACATTTAAAAGGTACATTAACTCTTTGGAGCCTAACTCTTTGGCTTGCAAATCTAAACAACAAACTTTATTATTTAAAGATCAAATCTATCCAGCCAACCTCTGAAAAATGCTCTCGCATTGCTTCGGATAACAAGTCTGTGTTGATGAGTTTGAAAAGTGAAGAAAACTCTAGCCACATGAAATAACCCATATCAATCTTTTTTTCCATGTTAACAAGTGTGGAGTTTTCTTAGTAGAAACTGAACATGGTGGAGGTCAGAAACCTGACCTACGGCTGGCTCCCCTGTTCTGCCTTCCCAGGCCTGAATCAGGGGCTGGCGGGCTGAGCTCTTTTCTGAAGGCTCAGGGGAAGAATCTACTTCCCAGCTTATTCAGGTTTTTGGCAGAATCCAGGTCCTTGTGGTTGCAGGACTGAGGTCCCATTTCCTTGCTGGCTGTCATCTGGGAGCTGTGCTCAGCTCTTAGAGGCTTCTCCTGACAAAGCCTTGCCAAAAAAAAAAAAAAAAAAGGTCAGGACTTGAAAAACGGAATTTAACCCTTGTGAGCCCTGAAGACTGAACTCTGAGGGACGCTCAAGACATATCAGGCTCAAGCATTTTTCAATGCAGTGTCTCTTCTGGTTAGTTATTGGGTATTTAAGGGTTCTCCAACTTTGGTCTAATTATTTTATGCTGTTCCCAAGACTCCTGTATGACCACATCAGAGAATACTTGGTGTTAGAAGTGAGTTTTCATCTGGGTGATCCGAGCCTTTGAGGTCTACTCTCCCACTGAATGTTTTACCTTTGTAAAGATTAGAGTTCGTTGGGCTGGGGATGTGGCTCAAGCGGTAGCGTGCTTGCCTGGCATGCGTGTGCCCGGGTTCGATTCTCAGCACTACATACAAAAAAACAAAGATGTTGTGTCCGCCGAGAACTAAAAAATAAATATTAAAATTCTCTCTCTCTCTCTTAAAAAAAAAAAAAGATTAGAGTTCACATTGAACAAGCCTGATTTCAGATGAAAAACAAAAGCAATTTTATTTAGCCATAGTTTGCATGAAATGACATTTACTCATTTTAAATTTATTTGGACAAGTTTTTAAGAAGCAATACTTGCATGTAACCACCACCACCATCATCATCAATATAGATATTTCTGTCACCCTACAAAGTCTTCTTGGACTCTGTCCCAGACACCCTCACCCCTCATTCCTTTTCCCTTCTATCCCAAGCAAAGACTGAACCATTTTCTCTCTCTGTACATTTTATTTGTTTTTTTTTTTCAGGAGTTTTATATAATTGGAATCATGCACACCTACATCTATTTTGACACGCGTGCATGCGCATGCACACACACACACAATAAACACTTTGGTTTCTTTTACATAGTATAATGTTTTAGAGTTTCATCCATCTTGGGCTTATTTTTTGGGGGGAGGGAAGGGTGCTGGGGATTGAACCCAGGGCCTTGTGCATGTGAGGCAAGCACTCTACCAACTGAACTATATCCCTAGCCATCCTTCTTGTTTTGAATCCCAGTAGTTTGTTCCCCTTAATTACTGAGTCATTTTTTACTATGTGAATGTACCACAATCATCCCTTTTCTGTATTGCTAGAATAAATCTGCTAAGATTTTGTCTAGAATTTTTGCATCTGTGTTCATGAAGGATATTTGGTCTGTAGTTTTCTTACAATGTCTTTGCCTGGTTTTGGTATCAGAGTAATACTGGCCACATAAATGGAGTTGGGAAGTATTGGGGGGGAGGATATTTATTGCTATTTGCAGGTGGTTTTTCTTGGCCATCTGTTGGGCACTACTGCCCCAAGAGGCCCAGAGACATCCTTCAAAGAGCTTTTTTTACAGGCCTAGGGAGAGTGCAGAAGTCCCTGGCACTGCTCTCAGGGTTTTGTGGCTTAGCAGCTATTCTCCGTTCCTGTTCCATACATGGCATGCCAATAGGGCACAGATGTTCAAACACTCTACACAGAAACTCCTAAACCCTGACCTTGCAGAGAATTTCATCCACGCTCTTGAGTCTGGCTGCTTCTACTTCAGCACAAAGCAGTGACCTCCATCCTTCCCCTGGGATGATCTAGTAAAATCCTCCTCAACCAAAAGTGCATTTTGCTTCTAAGAGCAAGAGTAGGGGTAGTGGAGAGAGGCAGCAGTGAGAGAGGCGGGGTGCTCAGACCTTCAAAAAACAAATTTAGCTCTTGCCAGAGTATGGAATGGGGAAAGGAGACATTTTAATGTCCCCTAATAAGTATCCAGAAGTAAAAAAAAATCAAAAAAGAAAAAAAAGTTTACTCCTCAAACACACTTTGTAAGGCAAAACCAAGGAAAATTTAGATTCATACATAAACTTTCAGAAAAGGAAACTTACAAATCATATAATGTCCTCCCTCAAGCGGTTTTCTTTTACAAGTGTGGGGACTGTCCCTCAGCCCTATCCATCCCTGAGAGATAGTCAAGATGCTTGAAAACCACTGTTTTATGAGGTTTTGGGGGGGTGGCTCAGACAAATAAAATTCCTGCTGATTGAGGCTGATCCCCAGGTATCCTGAGTTGGCATGCAGATGAGGCTCTCAGAGTTCTGGCAAAATCAGAACAAAGAACACATTATGATGACTTCCAGCCCAGGACGGAGGCTACTGCATGATGCTATATAAGCTCCCATGCTCTTCAGGTGCCTTTTTGTTTGTGTTGAGCTAAATTTCAAACATCAAGAGATACCATTATCAATAGATACATTGTAATTCTCACTGTGTGTGTGCATACACACGTGTGCATATACAGACATAACCACGACATGATGAAGGCATTAGCATAATGAGAATGTAATGCACCTGCTTCTGTATGCAGCTTGAGACTCGCCTACAAAGAGAGTTACCTGAGCCATAGCCATTCATGGAGAGCCAAGGATGTCAGTGCTCATTGCCAGCTAACTTCATCGTGAACCGGGCCTATTGCTTTGGTGGGAAATAAGACTGAGTTCAGGGGACAGCAAAAAGGAGGTTCTGTCTTTGGGGAGTTGGACACAGCATGATACTTTGATAGACTGTTTCCAGGGCCAGGGAGCCAAGATGGTGCTGGGAGGCCGTATAGTACAGAGCCACAGAGGAGCAAACCTCAGGGTGGAGGGAAGCCATCAAGACCTGGCTGTTGCTGTTTGTAATGCTGGGCTTGAAACCCAGGCCACCCTCCATGCTGCACAAATGCTCTACCTCCAAGCTTCAGCCCAACCCAAGGCCATGCTTTTAAGAGTTGTAGCTGGAAAAAACCAAAAGGACGGGAGAAGACACTGAAGTCACCACATTCATAGTTCAGCTTCTGACACAAAATTGTTTTATGACCTTCACCTACTTTCTCTGGACGCCCCCGCTCCACCCCAAAACTATAAGAGGGTCTCATCATCTATAAGAGAAAAGATAAAGAGGCTAATGATTAAACTATGCCTAGATTTCAAGTCCTAAAACTGAATGTGAGGAAATAGTTGTTCTTTATTTTTGTTTGCTGGTTTTATAATGTTCTCTATAAAATTGCCAGCTGGTCTGAGACATTATAAATGGGAGGAGAGAAAGGGAATTTTTGTCTATGCTTCAATTGGAGTTGGTAGTTAGATGTAGCTGAAGACCTTCCAAGAAGGGAGTAGAAAGTCAGGGAGAGACTCAGAGACGGCTGGACATTCAGTTCTTCCATAAGATTGTTCTATCCATGCTCTATTCTGAGTCTTATCTCACTACATAATGATTTTGATATCCTGAATTCTTTTTTTTTTTTTTTGGAACTGGGAATTGAACTCAGGGGCACTTAACCACTGAGCCACATCCCCAGCCATTTTTTATATTTTATTTAGAGACAGGGTCTTGCTGAGTTGGTTAGAGCCTTGCTAAGTTGCTGAGGCTGGCTTTGAACTCGTGATCCTCCTGTCTCAGCCTTCCGTGCCACTGGGGTTACAGGTGTGCACCACCATACCTGGTGATATCCTGAATTCTTAAGCAAGCTGCATGTATGTTTTATAATGCCCCAAATCTTGTAAACAATAAGATAGCCCTTATAAACAGTCACAGTGAGCATAAATACTGAAAGCTTTTAGATTCCACAGAAAGATACTACCTTTTGGAGAACCATTTTCTGTCTTCTGGAAGATATTCCTATACCCCACCCCCACACCTGTCCACCCAGCCCTGGAGCGAGCAGGCACTTTCATACAACATGGTTACCCTCTGGCCTCCTGGCTGGAGATCTGTTCATTTTGAGACTGAGAAAGCATCGGGAATTTAGGGGGAATAATTTTTGCTTTGGAGTGATGCAGGAAGAGGAACAGATTAGGACTGAAGGGACAGCAGATGACTTTTAGAGTGTTTGCAGATCATCGACATGTCCACAGGGGAAAGTTGAACATACTGATCCACAGCTCCCCCAAACAGTTGCTGACACAGGTTTGGAGATAGCCTTAAAGTCTCCTTGAAGACATGAGAGCAGCTGTAGGTACCCCAAGAGTATGGAAGAGGCCAAGGACAAACCCTGTGCAAAAGAACAGGGGAAAGACAAGCCAAAATGATTGTAAAAGAGGTGAGGACCATGGTCAGGGGCTGTGTTGTCCCTCTGCTCTCTGAAGAGGCAGCCTCTGGTCCATGCATGTATCTTCTGTCTGCTCCACAAATCACTGGTGTTCAGCCTTTTGTTGTCTAGGATGTCAAAGTTTCCAGGATGCATTAGTGTTCCTGCTTGTTAGCAATCTGACCGTACACACTGTCAGTTCCTAACTAGGTGAGTTAAAATATCTGGCTTTGTGTGTTTGCCATGTTTGGCATCCCTTCCATGCTCTTCAGACTGCATAGGGACCTGTTAGATCCTTCTGGAGAGATCCAAGTGAAGGGGCGGCAGGTTGTAGCCCTTCTACTTGTTGTAGGCCAAACCAAATAGGTAAGAGATGGAACCTACATTTTGGCTTGTTGGTTTCTTATTTGGGCTTTTAAAAAACGGTTTTATGGGCTGGGGTTGTGGCTCAGGAGTAGAGCACTCACCTAGCATGTGTGAGGCCCTGGGTTCGATCCTCAGCACCACATAAAAATCAATCAATCAATCAATAAAAGTATTTTTTTAAAAAAATGATTTTATAATTTCATTTTTGTAGGGGACCAGCAAGGGAAGGGGCTCTGGTTCTTGTGGACAAATTAAAACATCACAGATTCAGGTAAAACCCAGTTTGGGATCTTGCCCCTGGGCTTCGAAAGGCTGCTTGGGCCCAACTCCTTTTCCAAGTCTCACCACATTCTCACCAGGAGCGAGATGGAGTTGGACCCCTTGCTCAGTAGAGCCTAATTTCTTTCTGTTATTTCCATGATACCAGAGACAGACTTAAAAAAAAATGGAATATAAGTTTAGTTGAGTGAATAGTGAACATTTTTTTGTGCTTCAGTTCACCAGTCATGGAAAAATAAATGAATCTGGCTCAGTGTGAACTGTATTTCTAAAGTTTATTTATGTATTTAAAACATAAGTTTGGTTTTGCAGCTGAGTAAAAAAGAATACTTGGTCTCAGTTCAAAATTCACAAAATGTGCAGCTTTTGGTTCTCAGTCTAGCTCAAAACCCTAGCTATTTATTCTTAGCTGTCTTCTGCACAGAGAAGTTGGGAAATCATCTTCCCCTTTACTAAGGGCCTCTGAAAAGTGGGTTACTTGTGATTCCTCCCTT